TTGATGCCTCCTAGCCATACAACAATTTTGGTAGAATACTGGCAATAAAATTATAGGTATTTATTTCTGGGAGATTATGAGGTCATTGACTTTGCAATTTTCCAAAGACTTTGCATTCCCATATACCTGTTCTCTTCTCATTTAATTCTTAGCCCTATTCATTGTCTATTGGTATTGTCTTCACAAGATGCATGTGTGTGTGTGTGTGTGTGTGTGTGTGCATGTTTGCATATAATTTTTTTCCTCTAAATTTAATATTTTATTTTCCCCAATTACATGTAAAAACAATTTTGACATTCCTTTTTATTCAAATTTTGATTTCCAAGTTCTCTCCTTACTTCCTTATCCCCCCCCCATTGAGAAGGTAAGCAATTTGACGTAGACAATACATGCGTAGTAATGCAATTGTTTGTGAATAATTACAAACTATATGCATATGGATGTCTGAGTTCTAAAGGTCGGACATCTAACTGTATGTCATGATGTTGACAATAGACACAAAGGTATAACATAATTGTTGATGTTCATTCAGTCATGCTTTTTGGTATTGAAAAGGTCCAATTTTTTTCCTTATACCTTTGTAATCTTCTCCTTCTCGAGCTATATTATGAATTGATTTCTTCTAGCCCATATCTCCCAAGCTATATTTTCAGCTATTGATCTCTTTAGTGCTATTTCTACTTCTTCTATAATAACATGTGGAACTATAATTAGTTAAGGATTCAACTGTGATATGTACACTATCAGTCATGTTGAAAAAAAATGGTATAAAAATCTTTGCAGATTATTTCCATTTTCTTTTCTTTATTATCCTCCAATTTTTGTCCTTCAGTACTCTTTAGATGACTTCGTTTAGCTGAGTCAACTAAGTTTTCTTTAAATTGGTTTTGCCCTCTGCTTATTTCTCTTTGGTGAGGTATTGCATCCTTCTCTGCAATGTTTTATAAATGAGTTTGCATTTTAAACTGTTGTTATTGTTGGCTGCCATATCCCAAATCTCCCTATCTGATGAGTAAGTCAAATATTTACAAAGACAAATTTTAGAATCTTTAGGCCTCTTTGTGACAATTAATTTATATCAGGTTAACTTCTACATTAAATAATTGCCTTCTGTGTCCTTCCATCCATCCATATGTAACTTTGCATCACTAATTTGTCTCACTAACCTAGGATGGAATTGTTCTAATCATGTCATAATTTTTTTTTCTCATCGTCCTTCTTCCTTTTACCTTGGTCTAATTTTGATTGTCTAACAAGTCACTGCTCTGATTTCACAAAGGCAGCTGATTCATTGACTCATCATGTCCTTTATGTTAAGATATAATCATTTTTTTAATGTAGATGACATTATTTGATGCTCATCTACATTTCACCCTGATTATATTCTTGAAAAATGTAATCACGATATCTCTATATTAGGCTTTTGTAAGTCTTTCACCTCTCATTTAAAAAAAATGTGATTGATATTTTCTAACATTTCTCAGTTCTATCACCTAGTTACATCTTTGTTTTGAAGTTACACAGCACTGAAGTCTTATCTTGATTAATTTTGAAGTTTCATTTTAAACCCTCTTTAGAGCTTCTCCACTTCTTCATCTGCTGCCACAGATTTTGGTGCACAAGTTGCAAATTTTTCTTAGTGGTCTTTTTGCAAATGCTTATCATGAGCCAAATGTCCTATGAAATGACATTTCTTCATGCTTTGATTTATATAATAAAACTCATCCCAATCATTTATTTACCTCTCTAAGGAGGATGTGGGAGTGATCTTTACTCTTAGCTGCAGCTTTTTTCTTTCTTTTGATTTTGTTTCTAATGAGAATATCAAGATTGATACTATTCAGTTCTTTTAGTACTATCTCTATTTGCTGGTCATAAGACAAGAATATTATATTTAGAATATCCATTGTTAAGTTAATGCTCATAAATTGTCTAACACCTTTGTAACTCTTAGTACCTTCTGCCCCCTTTTCTACCACAATATTATCATCACTTAAAAATGGAACCTGTATGAGAGAAAAAAAATTAAGTAAATAAAAAAAGAGAGAAAATGGCAATATTTTCAACTCAGTAATACAATTACAATAGCATTCAATTTAGGAGAGAGAGAAAAAAGACACAGACCTAAATGGAAATTTGATAATGACATACTAAATTGCAAAAGAATCAAGAAACATATCTTTGAAACAGTTAATAATTGTGATAAGACAAAATAAAATGTCTGGGATGTAGCTAAAGCAGTTGAAAGGAATATATCTCTATATATGTACATATATAATGTTAGGAACATATGCATGTATATATAAATAAAGTAGAAAAAAGATTAACTGAATATTCAATTTTAACATTTAAAAGCCAACAAATCAACAAACCTACAATAAATAAAAAAGAGAATTCTGAAAGTAAAGGAATATGTGTGTGTATACAAAAGGGGAAACACTGATAGAGTAAAATATATTAATAAAATTGATACATATTTATCCAAACTGGTTAAAAAGAAGTGGGAAAAGAATAAAATTATCAAATAAAGATATACAAGGTGAATTTACAACAAACTCAGAAGAAATAAATGTATTACAACATAATATACATTACCATATTATAATGAACCTGAGAATTCTAAAGATTGGCTAAAAAAGTGTAAAATACTTAAATGAACTAAGCAAGAAATAAAGATAATATATAATATCATATCAGAAAAGGAAACTGAATTGCCTATAAAGGAATTACAAGAGGTAGCAGGGGAGAGTGACCTGGTCTACATGGATTTATATAAGAATGTTGTCAACCTTTTAAAAATTTAAAAGCCTATATTATATAAGGGGCAGCTAGGTGGCACAATGGATAGAGTGCCAGGCTTGAAGTCAAGAAGACTCATCTCTGTGACTTCAATTCTGGCCTCAGACATTAACTAGCTGTGTGACCCTGGGCAAGTCATTCAATGCTATTTTCCTCAGTTCTTCATTTGTAACAAATAAGCTAGAAAAGGAAATGTCAAACCACTCTAGTATCTTTGCCTAGAAAACCCCAAATTGGGTCACAAAGAGTTGGACATGACTGAAAGCAACTGAACAACAAACATATTATACAAATTATTCTCAAATAATTGAGAAAGAAAGCCCGCAATCAAACTCCTTTTTATGAGACAAATATCTTTCTAATATGTACACTGGGAAATTATAAGGCAAAGAAAGCTATAAACCAATATAAGCACTGATGGGGAAATGTTGAAAAAAGACACAGTGAATCCCCTTAATGGTCAAGCTCAGCATAGAGAGACACAGAGAGAGTGGTCTGCAGACACTGAAGGTGGCCAGAAACATGATACCATAGGGAGTGTCATAGTACCGAGAGAAAGGTAGTATACCTGGGCAAGAAAGTGTCTCAAGCTTATACTGGGCACCCCCAAACCCACACAAGGGCACTGATATAGGGACAGATACTAACTGGTAGCTTTTTTGCACACTATCTGTTCCCAAATTGCAGATCAAGGGAGGAGTGCATTAATTCTGTTCATATAAATATCTTTAGATTACAGGTAATAAAACTTACCTTTTTGATAATTTAAAATAATCTCTAATTCTTGTGTAGCTAAGAATTCACCTCCACTAACCCAACCCCTGCCTACAGCTGAGGAAGAAATGTGATTTTCTTTGATTATAATTTTTTTTGTATTTTTTGTTTGTTTATTAATTAGGTCATGTGTGTCTTACATTTATTTGAGCAGATAGTTGAAACTGATGGTCTAAATATTTTTTAATTAATTTATTTATTTTTAGTTTTCAACATTCACTTCCACAAGATTTTGAGTTCCAAATATTCTCCCCCCTCTTGTCTCTCCCCCCAACCCAAGAGAGCATGCATTCTGAATACCCCTTCCCCTAACCTGCCCTCCCTTCTATCTCTCCCCTCCTTCTCTTTTTCCCTTCCCCTTCAATTTTCTTGTAGGGCAGGATAGATTTCTACACCCCGTTTCCTGTATATATTATTTCTTAGTTGCATGTGAAAACAATTTTTTTTAACTTTTGTTTTTAAAACTTTGGGTTCCAAATTTTCTCCCTTCCTCCCTCCCCACCCACCCTCATTGAGAAGGCAAGCAACTCAATACAGGTTATACATGTGTAGTCATACAAAACACTTCCGTAGTAGTCATGTTGTGAAAAACTAAGTATATTTCCCTTAATCCTATCCTGCCCCCCATTTATTCTTTTCTCTCTTTTGACCTTGTCCCTTCTCAGAAGTGTTTGCTTCTGATTACCCCCTCCCCCAATGTGCCCTCCCCTCTATCATCCTCCTGCTTTCTTGTACCCTTCCCCCTCACCCCATCCCCATTTTCCTGTAGGGTAAAATAGATTTCCATACCTAATTGAGCGTGTATATTATTCTCTCCTTAAGTCAAATCTGATGAGAATAAGATTCACTCATTCCCTCTAACCTTCCCCCATTTCTTCTCCTCTGTAAAAGCCTTGAATTATCTGTTTTATGTGAGATAATTTACCCCATTCAACCTCTCCCTTTCTTCTTCTCCCAGTATAATTCTCTCTCACTCCTAAATTTTATTCTCCAGATATCCCCCTTCATCTTCAACTCACCCCCTGCCCTCTATCTATCTATCTATATACATAAATATAATTTTTTCCCTCCAATACACACACACACACTTATTTTTGGGAGTAGCACGGAGGCATTAGCAGGTAGAGAATTACAATGGTTATTGAATGAATCCAGAAATATAAGGCAATATATTCCTTACAGTTTGGTGTAGTCATATATCAGTTTATAACAAAAAAAAAATAGCCCTGTTCTCCTACAAAGTATTCTTTATTGCTGTTGTTTTATTCAGAATCTTAGACTGGATAGACCACTTATCTGACTAAATATGACATTCATTATCTTTCGTTTTGAATCAAAAATAAATTAGAAAGTTTAATTAATTTAAGTATTGGAATATTATGAAGATGACTGTATATCCATATAGGGTATTTTTTTTCTTCCTTCAGTTATCTCATGTGGAGGTCTATCTTTTCCACCAAATGGTAATAAGATTGGAACATTAACCATATATGGAGCAACAGCTATATTTACTTGCAACACAGGATACACTCTTGTTGGCTCACATGTCAGAGAATGCTTAGCAAATGGACTTTGGAGTGGTACAGAAACTCGATGTCTAGGTAAGTCAATTCAAGGATTTCTGTTTTTCTGCTCTTCAAATTACATTTAAAAACAGATCATGACCAAATTGTAAACATTAATCATTAACATTCTCATTTTAAAAATCACTCCTCACATTACACCTAGATGCTTTCTACATTTCTTATGCTCCAGTTCATAATATGACTTCACCTTTGAGCTTCTAAATAAATTTTATTTGAGCAATAAATCAAGGTCATATTGTTTTCTAAGTGATTTAAAGGACTGTTTTTTTCCAACGTTAAGGCAATATACTAGAAATTTAATTATGACATTATGATAGTAATATATATCTTCATTTGATTTATTTTCCTGTTTGCCTATCATTCTCCCATCTTCTCTCTATTTTTAATATGTAAAATAAATGGAAAATTAGTTCATCAAATTGAAACAATAGAAATAAAGATATTTAGAGTTGAATGGGAAATTAATTTTTTTCTCTACTCACTTAAATTTGCAGAGGTAGAAATTGTCCCAGAGTGGCAAGTAATTTGGCCAAACTCACATAGCTACCAAGTAGTCAATTCGGCATTGAACCTAAGTCTTTTAATGTTAGGTCCAGGTGTTAGTTGGACTAAAGAATCTTCCTATTCTGAGATTCTGTAATAAATGTCCTTTAGGTTTCTGTGCTACTCCATTAATAGAAATCATGTATGACTTTATCAGCTAATATGAGTTAAGAAGTGACAGAACCAATATTTGATCTCTGATCCTCTGACTCCAAATTCAGAGGATGTTATTGTTGTTTCCCACTATGCAAAAGAGTACACAGCTTGAAATGACTGTTCTACAGTTAAAATATGGATTCCCTGTGATGGAAGCCTAGATCTCACTTTTGATATTTGTACTATTTATACTATTTCAACATTTGGCAGTAATATTAGCTCTTTTCCATTATCTCTTTAATCTGTAGTCTTCAAGATGCCATTGATACATGTGGTACATTTTCCCTCAAAAATATGTTTTCTTTTTTATTAGACTTTATTTTGATAGTATTTGAGCTGAAATTGCGTTTGCAATGACCCATTGGATAATGAATCCCTTTGTAAATATCATATCACTAAGACATTGCCATGTCAGAAATGGCAAGTGGAATAGTTCTGAATAATTTTGTTCCAAGATGATATTTTTCTGTTCTTCTTATATAAAATTCAGAGGTTTTTTTTTGTATGCATGTCAAATGTTTCTCATTCTTAGTGATCTAAAGAAAACTTTAATACTAATAAAAGATAAGGAAAATGAGAAACAAAGATGAGGCCTTCTTGTGGCAAAAGGATATTTGATTCTACATGACCCTTGCAACCTTATGTTCAATGTAAAATAAAGTTATGACAGCCAGAGTACTCCCAGAAACTTCATATAGCACACTGTTATGAATATCTTTAGAGACTTTATCATGACATGTTGTATTTATCACTGCTAGTGTCCTATCTTCCTGTTACACTGGGATACTATTTCTAATACTCTAGAGAGTCAGCATGGAGAGGTGACTGTAGTGCTTGACTGGGAGTTAGAACTCCTAGATTTCACTTCCATTCTATTCCTTATTAGCTGTATAAGAATAGGCAAATTACTTATTCTCCATGAACCTCAGTTGTTTTTTTATCTATAAAATGGGAATGTAATTTGGTACATATAGTACCTACTTCATAAGGCTATTGCAGGGAATACTTTTTGTAAACCCAAAAGCACGATGTGAATGATTTACTCTTATCTTAAATTATAGCTCCCCTGGTACAAAGTAGAGTGTTCTGCACACAGCATATTTCTAAATTATGATTATAAAAGGAGTGAATGAACTACTTAGAAATGCGGAGTTGATATCATCATTAAAAAAAATTACACCAGAGAACTACAGTGATTTTTCCACCATGTCTACATATGGATCTTTCTACATTACTAAATGGGCCAAGATGTCATTTATTTATTTATTCAACAGATATTTTTTTAAGTTACTGCTATACTTAAAGCACGGTGATAGGGGCCTCCTTGCTGTTCCTCACAAGACAGTTTATCTCTCAGCTTTTGGCATTTTCACTGACTGTCTCCTATGCCTGGGATTCTCTCCCTTCTCATCTCCACCTTGTGGCTTCTCTGGCTTTCTTCAAGCCCCACTTAATCCCATATTCTACAGGAAACCTTTCTTTTTTTAAATTAATTTTGATTTAGCAACAATCACTTCCATAAGCTTTTTAGTTTTAAATTTTTCTCCCCTTCACTCCCCCCTCCCTCCCCAAGATAGCACGAATCTGATATAGGCTATAAATATACATTCCTATTAAACATATTTTCACATTAGTGATATTGTAAGTAAGAATTAGAACCAATAGGAAGAACCACCAGAGAGAAGAAACAAAACACAACAGAAGAAAAAAATAGCAAATAGTATGCTTCCATCTGCATTCAAACTCCATAGTTCTTTCTTTGGATGTGGATAGCATTTTCCATCATGAAATCTTTGGAAATGACTTAGATCCTTGTATTGCTGAGAAGAGGTAAGTCTATCAATATTAGTCATCACACAACATGGCTGTTATTGTATACAACATTCTCCTGGTTCTGCTCACTTCACTCAGCAGCAGTCCATACAAGTCTTTCCAGGTTTTTCTGAAATCAGCCTGTTCATCATTTCTTATAGCACAATAGTATTCCATTATATTCATATACCACAACTTGTCCAGCCATTCCCCAATTGATGGGCATCCTCTCAATTTCCAATTCTTTGCCACCACAAAAAGAGTTGCTATAAATATTTTTGTACATGTGGGTCCTTTTACCATTTTTATGATCTCTTTGGGATACAGCCCTGGAAGTGCTATTGCTGGGTCAAAGCGTATGCATATTTTTATAGCCCTTTGGACATAGTTCCAAATTGCTCTCCAAAATGGCTGGATCATTTCACAACTCCACTGAAAATGAATTTGTGTTCCAATTTTCCCACATCTTCTCCAACATTTATCATTTTCCTGTTTTGTCATGTTGGCCAATCTGATAGGTGTGATGTGGTACCTCAGAGTTGTTTTTTTTTTTTTGCTTTTCTCTAATCACTAATTCACTAATCTAAGTAGTGATTTAGATCATTTTTTTCATATGACTATAGATGGCTTTAATTTCTTCATCTGAGAACTACCTGTTCATATCATTTGACCATTTATCAATTGGAGAATGACTTGTATTCTTATAAATTTGACTTAATTCTCTATGTTTTAGAAATGAGGCCCTTTGGTGCAGCTAGGTGGCGCAGTGGATAGAGCACTGGCCCTGAAGTCAGGAGGACCTGAGTTCAAATCCGGCCTCAGACCAAACACTTGACACTTACTAACTGTGTGACCCTGGGCAAGTCACTTAAACCCAATTGCCTAAAAGCAAAAAAAAAAAAAAGAAAAGAAAAAAAGAAATGAGGCCCTTATCAGAGATACTGGTTGTAAAAATTCTTTCCCAATTTTCTACTTTCCTTCTAATCTTTTTGTAAACCTGAAAGCACAATGTGAATGATTTACTCTTATCTTAAATTATAGCTCCCCTGGTACAAAGTATAGTGTTCTGCACACAGCATATTTCTAAATTATGATTATAAAAGGAGTGAATTTGTGCAAAAACTTTTCAGTTTAGTGTAATCAAAGTTATTACAGGAAACCTTTCTTGATGCCCCTTAATTCTAGAGCTATCCCTCTGTTATTTCTAGTTTTTGTTGTTGTTCAGTCATTTCAGTCATGTTCAACTCTTTGTGACCTCATTTGGGGTTTTCTTAGCAAAGAAACTGGAGTGGTTTGCCATTTCCTTTTCCAGCTCATTTTACAAATGAGGAACTGAGACAAATGGGGTTAAGTGACCTTCCCAGGGTCATCCAGGTAGTAAGTGTCTGAGGCCAGTTTTGAGGTCAGGAAGATGAGTCTTTCTGATTCTCAGCCCAGTACTGTATCCACTGTGCCACCTAGCTGCCCCTGTTTCCAGTTACCCTGTACGTAACATGTATGTACATAATTGCATATTTTCTCCTATATTAGACTACAAACTTTTTGAGAGCAAAGGCTACCTTTTTTCCCCCTTTTCTTTGTATTCCCATTCTATCTATCTATCATTTTATCTAAATAATCTATTTATCTATTTATAACACAGTCCCTAGCTCACTGTAAGTGCTTAATAAATGTCTTTGACCATCAGGGAGGTAAATATTAATAAAAACAGTGTCCCTGTTCTCTAGGACTTTAAAATCTAGACAAAGTGATAAGACACATGCATAATTTAGTATAAAATAAGGCAGACAGTCCTTTTTGTACAGGGCTATGCATTACCATATGATACCTAGATTTTACCAAAGTGTCTGACAAAATATTTCATATTGCCTTTGTGAATGAAAAGATATAGGCTAGATGATACTAAAATTATGTGAATCTGGAACTTTTTGAATGGAGGAATCTAAAGGGTCATTGTTGATTTGGAGGGATGTCTCTAGTGAAACATTTTGGGATTGTCTTTGGTCCTGTACTATTTATCAGTTATTTGACTGTATTTTGCAGAATATGCAAAACTGGAAAAGATAACTAACACACTGGATGACAGAATTAGGATCCAAAAAAGATATCAACAGTCTAGAAAATTGAACTATATGTAATTAGAAACAATCTAATAGGAATATTTGTTCTAAAATTTAATTTAATTTTTCAACCAAAAGCACCTATTTTCTCTCACTTGTAGCACCCCAACTAAATGGGGGAAAAAAGAAGGCCAAAACATTTGGTCTTCTAGAATTATAGCTGGCCATTACAGTGATCAGCCTAATGGAAATAAATTTATATTTAGTTCAAAACATTAAGTTCAAAAACCACCATCACATGTGAAAAATAGGGAAAAATGTTTCTAGATAATAATTCATTTAAAAAAGATCCTAGGATTTGTTGAATTATTGGTTCACTTTGAATCAACATTATGCCATGCCAAGCAGGAAAAATAATTCAAGCACTATCCAGAGCAAGGAAGG